TATGTAATCTATGCTCCGCACATCCGTTTGTGGGCAGGCATAATACTACCTTTGTTCTAACTTATGCGCTGGTCCGGATATTTGATTGCCTTCACTCAAATTCCACCTAGTCAGTGCCTAGTATCTACCCGAGCCTGTACAGTTGCCCGTCGCGCCAGCTGCCTGCAACAGGTTATCATCAACTCTTCCGCCCATGCGACCACGAGTTGCTTTCCTTACCCTATTTGTCTAGAGTTTACAACGGCATTTCTTACCTAATTGAATCACAGCCAAGTATGGTTTTTATTTAGTATTCTCCATCGAGGGCTCCGTCCCTAAATCCATTGTGACCTATACGCTTCAGCCCGGTCAGAAAAGCCATCATCAGCAGATGGTAGATACAAGGAGCGAAGCCTGTGCCTAACCTGATAGTCTTTACCCACCCGGTCTACTCGGAACCAGCGTCTCTACCTGGGTCCGTGGTACATTCAGAGATTCCTGCATTTCCGGAGGTTATGCTGGTCCCAAAAGACGACAATCCTGACAAGCATGTGACTCATTGGATACTTTCTCCATTATTCGATATCTGACTAATCGCTAGGATACTTGACATTCCAATGGGCCTTTTTCTCATCAAGATACTTTGGTGATTGGTTGGAGCGAGGAGGGTTTTAGGGAATGAGTGAAAAGTCGATTGGGTTTATCAAAATATATTAAAAACAAGCTAGTTATTCGATCTCGACTGTAGCCCCGGCCGCCTCCAGGGCAGTCTTCGTTTGCTGGGCCTGTTCTTCACTTATATCCTTCATTAAGAAATCAGGGAGAGACTGGAATAAGAGGCGGTAGTGAGAAAGAACTACAAACTTACTTCGACAAATTTCTTTGCCTGCACCAAGTTAAGGTCGGGATTTATATTCTTGACTTCCTTTATAACTTGAATCTTCTTGGAAGGATCAAATTTTATAAGCTTAACACTGAAGCTTGTCTTTGTGGCGGGAGGCTCGTCTTCGGGGTCCAATATTCCAGGCAGATCGGAACTTGGGGGGGATATAGGCTGTGGTTGCATCATGGTGAAAGGGTTCTGTGGGGGAAAATACTTTTTTTATTGTAACAGACATTTAAAGTACAAAATAAGAACTTATACAAGGGGATATGATAAAATAATAAGGCCGAATCACCACTGGTCATTAAAAGACAAGCACCTGCATATTTAAACGTTTGCGAAGTAACTCTACTAGGTCTGTGGTTTCTAGGAGGCTAAGATCGCATATGCTATCCGCTAATCTTGAGATGTGGGGCGGGTATGTTTTGGCATCTTCCTTGTCAGATGGAGTGCAAGAGTGTAAATCAGAGACTTCTTTTTTCAGAGAAGAAGAAATATTGTGATGAATTGACAATTGCCGTATTTTGGGTAGGAAGAGGAGTCTAGAGGCTGCGACAATCCTCATGGTGAAGAAAGGCAGCTTAAAGGAGGAGCCATATGTTGTGAAAACTGTATTAAATATGTGTTTTTGGTTAGTGAAATTAAATAGGAAAAAATCATAGGTATTATTTACTCATCCTTAAAAAATAAAGTATACTGACTATTAATGTTTGTTTATGAGACTATCTACTTTATTCTTTTTGACATTATTGAGTAGATTTAAGTTTAATATATTTTCTACAAAGCTATCACACATTTGAGATCTAGAAATATATCATCTTAATTTATATTATACATAAACGTACCTAAGTCTAATTTATTTGAAAGTATAGTGGGTAAAATTTATGTTATTTATTTTTAAATGATAAAACTGAGATGCTAGGTGTTCTTATTGCTCAAAATTTTTTCTTGGGTTAGACTTATTATTTGCAAGCCAAGTCGCAGCAGCCTACATTTGCCTATAATTATATATATTATTGGCCTCCTTAACTAGTCGTCTTGGGAGCAATTAAGAATTAAAAAGTTTTCATTTATAATTAGAAATTTGAGGAGCCCGACATGATTTTATTGTTTAGATGACATCAGCTCATATACATATTTTAACAAAAAGTTTAATTAGATGATATTGTAAATCTAGAATTAGACACTATCAGGTATGCAGTAGGGCAAATTTTAAATGCTTTTATTTCTTAAATAAGGCATCTGTATTGGAATACATCGATTGATCCTTTAGAATTTTTAATAATTATAATAGGAAATACTCAATGAAGTAAAGGCTAGACTAGTTCTGTAGGGTAAAAACATTTATTACACTCCTCGTTATTAAGCATAAATTCTCGTAGTGTATTTGTTAGCAAACTGGCCTTGAATTATTCATAAATATAATAATAATGAAGCCTCTTTCATTTCGTTTTGATAGTCAAGTAAAAACAATTCTATTTTGACCTAACGGTAAGTTGAACGGGGACCTTATTTGGCTTGTTATTGTAGAATTTTGAGAAGATATCCTTGGCTTACAGTCCAAATAACTTGGTATAGCATTGCTAAATTTTTTCTGTCAACTTTTTTACACTATCAGGGCCTGACAAAATTTACAAAACACGAAATTGCAGAATGAAATCTTTCCTTATTTCATAGTCTAAATTTTCCCACTTAATGAGATACGAAGGTAACCTGAGCTACGATGAATTTGCCGAGATAACATTGTTGGAGAGTCTTTCATTTCGTATGAAATGAATGATGTATAGATTCGAAGTTCGAAGTCACCAGAAGAGGACGGCTGATTTTCATTGTAATTCATCAGTTTGGCCCTAATATGGCATTTAAGTTGACGCAGTCCACGAGACATCCGCCCTCCTTTCTGAAGTAATCAAACCGTGCTTTCGTACATCATACAATGGCCACCATCAGACTGGAAACTAGTTCTTTTGAAAGTCTTAAAAAGTCAAGACTTTTACAAGAATGTGATCTAGTTCTGATGCTGCCCAGTATATGATGGACGAATGATCAGCCTGTCATCATCTAATATGAGGGAGGATGCCTCGTATACTTTGTTGAGCTAAACGTCGCATAAAAACCAAATGTCTGCAGTACAACGGGAATCAACCCTTCTCTTATAGTGAGATTACCTCTCAAATCTTTTTTAAAATCAATTTCATACTAATGAAAGTCTCTTCAACAATTTCATATCAGGATGTTGGCCGAAACCCAATTACAATGTAAGTACGGTTCAACTTCCTGTCAGTTGTCTTATCGCTTCCCTATAACTATGAAAACAATATTCCAAAAAATAGATTGAATTAGATTTTAAAACTTTTATTTCTAATAATTTTACTTCCACTTATTGTTTACCGAGTGTAACTTTTAATCTACTAAGGTTCATTAATAGAAAACTTGACCAAATATATTATAAATTAGTTAAAATAATGCTCATGAAATTCATTAACAGACCGCACTAACTAATTACAATAAAATGCAGGCTTAGTCAACTCCTTTCTAAAGTAATGTTTAATGTTAATTTCCTTAAGTTTCAAGATATGGCTGACCAGGTATAAGAGGGCACGGACGTGATAAGAAGCTCCGAAGCTTAGAAGTGTGAATAAGGTAGAGTAATTTACCGCCGATATTAAGGCATAATAACCATGTTTGTAATAAAGTGGGGTGGGATAATGTTATCAATTTATTCAATATAACTCTGAAAGATAGTGTGGATCTTCTATTGGAAAGCAGATTGAATTTTGCCCTTCTAAGCGAGATAACTCAGTCTCTGGACATGCTCGAAGTAATTAGCTTATCTGATAGATTGCTTGATGAGGTAAATTATAGTATTAAGCTTAAGGTGTGCCCTTATATTCTTCATTAAATTCAGTCATAGAAAGCTTTTATTCTTATTAGGTGTATGCTCGCAATTTATATAAATAGGTTCCTCCAAAAATAATGTACCAAAATAAATAGTTAAAAAATCCCTTTAACTATTTTAATACAAATTTTGTCTACTTTGAAAATCTATCAGCTTAGTTTGTCAATTTACAAATAATATAAACAATAAATTACGTCTAAAAATGAAGTAAATAGATTATGCAAAGCTCCGTTGCTGTAAGTTAATGGTCTTATCAACTTTTTTAGGCAGCACTATAAAGACAATTTTACAAAATCAGAAATTATTCTAAGAGTAGTACCCATTATTCGTACTTTAAAGCAGACTATAAATGGTTACTTCCAGGGTAGATGAAGAAA